ACAATTAAATACTAGTACCTACAACATTATGTGGTTTATGTCAAACACACATGCGAATCTGTTCCTGTGTTGATGACCGTCCGCCATTGCTCTTGCTACTAATCCTGTTCTAATTAATGTTATCCTTTTCATCTAGCTTAAAAACGAAATTATTTCGCTTCAAGTTGCATGGAATTATCCTGTAAACGTACCTAATCTAAGCAACATGAAACATAAAAGGCTATGAGATAGTGATGAACCTTATAAATAAGGTTACTATACCGGTAATACTGACTTACGGTCTCGTAAATAATTAAAAAAAATATCAAACAAAAAAATCCATGTTTTTCGCTGTACTTTCAGTAGCACACTAATGTTATCATGAAAAGAGCTGAAACAGTTTGACTACTTAACCAGGTTAATTAATGACAATAAATGAATACAATTCCCGTTATATTGTCATAAACGTTCCGTAATATAGTGACTTGATTACCCGCCCAGACGTCAGCTTCCCTCCCTCCCCACCGATGGGGAACCACGTGTATCTAGGTGTGGTCGGTCGTAACAACTGGGGTCATCAATAATTATTCACAGATAAACATTTACACAGAATCTGACCGACGATTGGCCTTTCACCTAATTAGTGAGATTGTACTTACCGCGTTGTCGATATTAGGACCATAAACACTGGCCATGAGTGTTCGGGATAGAAATCGGAGGTGTGGGGTGCAAATATAAAACAACTTCCATCGCCCGATGTGAATAATAAGCGGCTTCCGTGATCGTACTTTGTTAATTCTCGTCTTATTTATAATTCACGAGGAACGGTTGAGAACACGAACCCCCTTACTGACATGCCTACTGTAGTGCATTGGTGTGTTTCCGGTGGCTCCTTTTGTCTTTCTGTTTGTGACAGGTATATATATTGACTTATCAGGTTTATGACATGTCTTGTGGCTGAACTATATATAGTTGCAGAGTCTTGGGATTACAGGTACCTCATGTCAGTGCTCTTTACGTAACGGAGCATCGTTAAATATAGATGACTCCTGGTGGGTTTAGTAAAACCGTTTTTCAGAAGGTATGTGTACGGGCCCTAAAGGTGAAGTGAAAGAAACGCCCAGTAGTGTATACTAGACGCCAGAAACTACATTTGTACGGACGTTAACGTTGCTGGAATGTTATTGCAAAAAATCAAATATCTAGTAGAGTGAGATAACCAAACATCGACATCATGTTTACATTTCTTCAGTATAGCTTGTGACGCAACAGAAAGGGAAGTGTGTGATTCACAGATAGAAAGACAGGTGATATCCGTGGTGAACAAACGGGTTATTACGGCTATCTCAAACAATGTGAGAAAAATGAAACAATAAAAGAAGGAGAGTGGTTTAAAAGTTTCCATAAGAAGCATCAACTGAAAATGGTGAGATGTGGCGAAAGACCTCGCTCGCATCCATTGATGTGCTGATTGGGACTTCACATCAGACGAGACTGGTGATCTTTGCTTTCGGTTTTCCTGATACGCCTATATTCTTGAGTTATGGCGATGTTTCCCCTGTGAACAAATTATAAGTAATCATCGAAGGATAAGTACAAAAGCGAATTTCATGATCATTTTGACAGGATCGTAAATCTTCAGATATTATTATTTCATGGGAATTCCGATGAGAGGAAGATGATGTAAGAAATCCACGTTGGTCGTTTGAAACTAAATAGATGAATAATTGATAAAGCTCTGATTTGGTTTCTATGGAACTAGCATGTGTCTGACTTTTGGATTCCTTACAAGTCCTACACTGGTCGAACATATGTGGCAAGCATCAATGTGATCTGTTGGAAATGTCGAAATCAAACGACATTTTAGTTCTTGGATAATGAGTTCAGAAGTTCGTACGTATAGGTCTGCGCATATCTTTCATTTGGCCGATATTGTGATATTTATTTCTTACCAAACCCTAATAAGTATACCTTACAGTAACTGTAGTGTCCAATAACACACCTAGGAGTAATATCAAATGTGGGTTTTCCAAGTTTAAGGATTACTGTTCGCGGTTTCTTATTCACTTTCGAACATGACATCTGGCTTAGTCGGGCTAATTCCGATACTATTCTTGTCCTAAGCTTACATCTGCAGTTATTGAGCTGTTTATTAATTAATGACCCCGTTTGTAATATTATCGTGCCTAGATTGACAGGCGCCCGGCAAAGAGGATACCAGAGGATACGAAAGGATGCCAATACATGCTGTGATACCTTACCGCCTACAAGGATTCTGTGGAAATTATGAAATTCTATAACAAACAGGTGATATTGGGAACGTAACGAGTTCAGAAAAGTTTGGAAAAATAATAAAATGTCCGAGGAGCGACAACGACTGCATTTCTCCATCTTAGTTAAGTACGTTTACTGTTAATGAGGCATGTGATAAACAAGTAGAGTATGTGTCCAGGATCATCCTCAGGAGTAAGTCAGTATGACACCGATACCTGTATAGATCACTTAGTTTGATACTCTAAAAAACGCATACGGCATTTATCCACACCGACGATTCACTGTAACAATAGACATGTGTATACATGAGTAGGTGATTATGGAGGGTCACTCGAACGCTGGTTACCCCTGGAGTTACTGGGGACGAAGACAGAGAACTATCTTCACGAATGTTGTTCTCCCGGTACGTATGCTCACCAGCTGTATTACGGTATATGTCTATAAATTATACCTACTGTCAAAAGATAGATTTAATAAGACGATATGTGATCCGCTGTAATATACATGTATATAATTGCTGTAAAACGATATACATATTCAATGGTGTCTTCAGTAATAACAAATATATTTCACTCGTGTGGCTAATATTTTAATATTTTTCACGAGGGCGCATTACTGATGACACCATTACATTTTCTATCTATTACATTTTTAAAGCATACAACATGAAAAATGTAATGCATTAAAAAAGGGCAGAAATCAGAAGCGTAATAATTTCCGACGTTTTCTGCTATTTTCTGGTACAATTGCTTATAAAAATGTTATTTAGTGTATATTTATGTAAATACTTAAATGTGTGCACCAAACATTTACCATAACAACCACTTATTCTACCGTCGCTTCATTTGAATCTGAACAAAAAAAGTCGTTGCCTTTGAATGCATCGAATAGAAGATACCGTTATGATTGGTCAATACCAAAAAGTGATATTTTCACACTGTTACAACAAGGACTGAAATGCATCTTTTATTTTTACATTTATGACGGTTAGCAACATTGTTCAGTTCAAAATAATATTTTATGATGTTCGGCAATTTCAATCCTAGATAAATCTGCTTTAAAACTATACAATAATAAACCGATATAACCATGTTTTAAAATTATATTTCTGTTGTTGAATGAAGGATGACACCATTTTCACAGCATCGTCATTGCTTAAATCATAATCTCGTAAAGGTCGGTGATTTGTGATATTAACTCAGTGTTTCTATTTTCAGAGACATCAGGGTAACTGTAACTTCACAATGCTCTGTGCTAAATGCAGTACTTATTCTTGACGATTTGCCCTCACTCCATATTGTTTGATGATGAAAAACCATCGTAATTTGATATCTCAAATAACAATCAATAAAAGAACTTTCATTTCTATGATATAAGGTTATACGAACCTGAACACGTGATATTGAACGAGATGAAGTCGAGTTTATCATCACTTTTTCGTGTTTTTGAGGTCCACAGACCTCAATAAAAGTCTATAAATGATAAATAAACACCATGTTTTACAATGAATGAACGTTGTTTACTTATACAATGTATAATATACATGTATATACTGGAATTATTCAAATACGATTACTTCAGTAGCTACATGAGTTATACCCTTAACATGTACGTATAGTGATATTGTAATAAACATGCTCTAATGATATACACATATATGTTTTTTTGTTTTTGTTTTTGTTTTTACTTTTTTAATTATTTTTTTCCAAAATTTTATGACATAAACATATATATATACGTACAATGTACATGGGCGTCTAGAAACGCCTTTAACTAATGTACATACTGTTCAAAATATTCGATCAAGTATGAGTATTCGTCATACATATATATTAACAAATAAGTATACATTTACATTTTTGATATAAAAATAAACTTCCGGATATTCTTGTAATTTTTGACTTTTTAGTAGCTACATGGGTTATACCCTTAACATGTACGTATAGTGATATTGTAATATAATATTGGATAGTGATATTGTGATATTATAAATATAGTGATATTGTGATATACATGCCCTGATGATATACACATGTATTCTAAATACGATTAAGTATTTGTTAAGGTTCGATCTTTCGTGTGGCAGTAGCACTTCATTGACGTTCTTTTTTGTACCAAAGAAAACACTGACATCTGAAGTGCCATACATGTACATTGATCTGCAATATATGTGTGTAACCTATTACAATAAGTGGGTCAGTTTCTATAAGACATCTCTATTCATTGTCAAGTATTTATATAACCAATAGCTGATCTTGTATATGTTCATGTAAGACAATATGAATCAATATTGTGACGGCGATCCGTTGGTAACCTTTCCAATAGGCCTGTAGGAAAGCAAGGGTATTTGTTTTGTCTGGCCAGGGATATTATTGATACCGACCTCACCACGTGGTCTACTGAAGCTTAAAACTGCCCTATACAGTCCTTCGTATTGAAACATCCATACCAGTTCATATATTTGCGGTGTGAATAAATATTTACCTGTAATTCTCGTGTATTAGTTACAAATGTCGCCGTACTCTATTTAACTGACTTTGAAGAGATGATACGTCTACTATACACGGACATCTTCAATGGAACTTAACACGGCCCATTGGAGTGTAAGCCCAAAGCATAACAAACCAGTCTACCAACACAAACATTTGAGGTACGGGGCAATCGTTGATTTAGACACGTCGAAGCTATGTCTGATGTACCTGTATGATTGAATCTCCGTTTTGACTTTTGAGTGAAACCCTGACCCCGGCAAAGATAACAAAACCATTTCGCTGCATATTGGGATACCTATTCAGTACAGTTTATAAATAATTCGTTGTGGAAGATTTAATGGTTTCATACCTAAAGGAAAGCTATGTGTCTTCATTAATATTTTAAGATCGTTCAGGAAAGTGGAATAATGTGCGTCATAATAACGTCTGTCACTGTTTTCTAGCAGTTTAAATTCCTGTTGGTATAGGCGACGTTTGTGATTGAAAACTCGACTTTCTTTACGTTTGGAATTAGCCATAAATGTACCAACATTTCAAACGTCTGTTAATTAACCAGAAACTATGGTTCCTGATGGAGTGACCAGAACTTCGTCGCAGACCCCATCTAGACAGCTAGTGTTAGGGCTTTGCTGATCTCGCGTTACACATTGTTACCAACCGCTATATGACAACGTGGCTATTTAATTGGAAATTGTATTATTCCTTTGGCAAAAGGTTTTTTTCAGTAGCGTGCAGTTTGTGTATAACATACAGCTGTATTGTATTGGGAGAGTGTAAATATTCCCACCCACTGTTTGAGCCTGAGGATTATAACAATCTCGGAATGTCCCTAATACCTGGAGTATGATGAATGGTTTACATTAAGTTAACCAAACACATGTAAGGTGTGTTTGATCTCGTCGAGGCCTACCAGTACACCGGAACAGGGATTACATATGCCTACACCTGTCTGTGCTAATGTAACGGGCGGTAGTATGCACGAAGACAGCGTCCTATGTATACGGGTACATAACAGTTTGTATACCAACCTTTAAGTCAATTATAATCGTTCTATGATCCGTACAATTTGGGGTACATATTGGATACTTCCCGAACCTGCCCTCAAAGAGGTTTGGCCCTTGAGCAAATCTCGATTAATTCCTGTTCATGTCAAATGCCAATCATTTCTGAATTCCTTTTCATCGGAATTAAATACCATCGATTAAGGAAATCTATTAGTGTGATGTAACGCGCTTTTACTTTAAGGGTAACTGTTGGCTCTTTAACCGTTTGACCCGTGCGTGTACGTATTGGCACTAGTTGAAAGTTGCTAACTTATGTATATATACACGTTGATGAAATTGATGCATTTACAAGGTGTGAACAGTATTATATCTGTTTATAGAAGATATCCATCAAGTACGTCGTTAGACTGATGTGTTAAATACCCAGGTCTGGTTCCTACGTAACTACCATTGTAAAACATTCTATACACCATACACTATGTTCTGTTGACACAAGATGCCATTCATTTTAATATCACTTTTTAACATCAGAATGAGGGAGGTGCTTTCAAGCATCCATATCATCCCCAGAGCACATAACATCATATTACTGTAACTATAACACATGCGCGTGCTGAAAATATATTCAAAGCACGAGGTCTGGTAAAACGCAATTGAATAGAACATATACTGCAAGTGTGACGACATTGTGTATGGGACGTCACATTCTTTGTTGAAGCCCTATCCATGACTGTTTTTTCCGCGATAAGACATATGTGACGCCTGTTGTGTTTTGACACTGGAAACTCTGTATTACATATATAGCCATGCTACATTTTCCTGGTATTATTTTGCAGACACCCAATGGAGTACAAATTGGCCCTATCCGAGTTCCGGTGGCCAATACGTACGGTAAGTTGTCCAATTCAATGTATTGTAATATGACATCTGTACACTATATGACGTTACTGAAGGCTAAGAATACGTCAAATTAACGTCACTGTACCGAGATCGGGACACTTTTTAGATAAATATCAATGTTTTTTATAACATACTATCAATTCCAAAAAAGTTTGTTCATTTTTTATAATTATGTACTATCCACTTTTCATGTCTATTACAAGTTTATATATAAAATACTACCAGGGTCACGTAGTCCCAAGAACCGGCGTTACTGTATCCTGAAAGGAACACTTCGGTATTTTGGCGAATATTTGGGGATAAACGATATATATCGACAGAAAAAATTGCATAGTTGAAATATTTTAGAGTCAACGAGGGTTCTGCTTAAATTTCTTCTCCAAACTAGCAATAGTTTTGCATAAGAGGTAAGATATCGTATACGATTATATCATATCGACTTTTATGAGAAATCTACATGTATTGATATATAGCAGACATCTTATAAAATACATAAGATATCCTATATATAAAATATGTTGTCTTGTATAGGATGCCTTAGGTTAATTTCTTTGTAATATATCTTAAATGCATTTTTTTATAAGATATTGCATTTAGGATTTAAGACATATTTTATCCTTAATAAGATGTGTTATATGTTTTAGATAAATATCAATTTTTTTTTTATACCATACTATCAATTCCCGAGTCAACGAGGGTTCTGCTTAAATTTCTTCTCCAAACTAGCAATAGTTTTGATAAAATAGACTTTTGAAAATGATATCCAAATTTATTATATAATATAAGGCTTATGCAGTGCAATAAAGGGGTGCAATAAAATTGATATTGAACGTGTGCAATAAAGATGCAAATGAGCGCGCGACACCGTGGGAACTAGGTCGTATTCCGACGCACTACTACTACTATAGTATAGGCCTACTACAACATGGCTGACGTAAACATTGGGGATTCTGTTCGAATTGACGGCAAAGGTAGGGGCACAGTACAAGAACTTGTTCCAATGGGATTTGCAACATTTTATAGAGTTTTAATCGAGGGAAGTGATATTGAGGTTGACTTGCCAGGTGATCGGTTAGAGCCAATACCCCAGACTATGACTCAGTCGTCCTCGCTACCACAAAAGCAGACGACACCCAACCAAACTCAAAGGTTTGTTCCGGTCCAACAAACGGAAATTGGGTCATTCATTGAACAACAATCAAATAAGAACACTCTACTGAAAACGTGGAATGACATGAAAGTATTGAAAGCCTTTTTCGAAACTCCAGAAATCAACGAATCCCGAAGTATTCAAAACATACCCCCTCCCGAATTATCTCCGTTGCTTTCCCAATTTTTCATGAGTGTCCGAAAAGTGGACGGTTCTGAATATGAACCAAACAGTCTCAGATCTATGATGTCAAGCTTTGATCGCCAGCTACGC